ATTATACTTAAAACGAACAGAAGTCATCAATTGTTTTCAGCAATTGAAATTTGAAATATTAATAGAATAACAAAGAAAAACATTAGAAACTTTCTACGTATAAGATACGTACGAAGAATCTTGAAACTAAGAGTAACTCATCTTTTATGGATTAGCAACACTTATTTTTGTATGCTAATAGTATTAGAATTTGAATAAAATAGATGAAAACTTAATTTATTTTAATTTATCTAAATAATAATCAATATACAATTTTTTATTGAAATAAATAGGAAAAAATACAATTATATTTGAATATTAATTAAAAAAAAATTGAGTGATTTATGAATACTATTTACTATAATTTTTTTTTCTTGTTGATACATTTCTATTGTTCAATCAGCACTTATGATCTCATTATTTAAAGTAATGTTCTGTCACAATGTCATCAATATTCAATAGGTTTAATTTGTTAATATAATTAAAAGCAATAGACATGTTCCAAGCAGACAAACTTATCGAATACTTACGTTTCTTTTTGAACAATTTAGGTACATACTCTCAGCTTTTTTTATTCAAAAAACGTTAATATTCGGTAAGACTATCTGCTTGGAATACAGGTAATTTATGTATGTTGAAGAAAACTTTTGAAAAAGATAGTTTTCTTCATTTATAATAATTGAACTATTTATTTTTTGTTTCTCTCATTTTCATTAATTGTGATACTCTTGCGATAATATTTAAGTTGAGTAGAGAAGCTTTTTGTTTTTATTTCTTTTCACAAGTCATGAACACTTCATATATATGAAAGTACCTCTATAGACAAGGAAGTTTACTTGATCTAACTCAATAATGTCTTGTTTTTTTTTATTTCCCCAATGAAAAGAAATTCTATTAATGAAATAACTTGTTTATGCTTGAATGAAACATAGTTAGATTGTCGATATCTACCATAAAATCAATATTATCTAAATCATGATCGAATAGAATAGTATAGTAATAAATAATCTATGAAAAACAAAGAATAATGAAGAAATATCATTTGAATTTGTTTTCTAGAGAGAAAGTCTAAAAATTTACTGGTTTTAGTATTTATTTGACATTCGGTTAGCTTTTTGTTTTGCAAATCAGCAGTTGTATATAAGAAACTCAGTCAAATAAACAACAAATGTTCTTTTTCTTATGGGTCATTTAGTTTTCTTTTCCAGCCTTTCCATCAGTCAATGGTAGACTGGTTCGAAGAGACTCGAGCAAAATTTCATAGTTTCCGTATTCGTGAAATATATGCTAATGACTGAAAGGCTTACTCATTAAATAAAAATCAAAGGAAGTAATTATTGCTTACTCGCAAGGGAAAATAACAAAGCTTGAATTACGTCGTCTATTTGTTCATTTGATAATAATCATGTAAGAATTCATCGAGTGCCATAATGACAAACAGAAATTCAAAAAATAACAACTTTTTTTTGTGTTTGTAGAAAAAAATTCAAATGTTGTTTTAGTATTTTCAATATGAATGAAAGTATGGCTTTAGTCATTCTTATAGTAATAAGGATTCATTCAATCATCTAGTCTTTTTTTTTTTACTCTTTCATAAAAGATTTTTTTATTAGCATCAAGAATTCATAAATAATGAGGTAAAAAAAACATTAAGAAAAAAATCACGCATATAACTTATTATCGATTAGCTATTTCTATTAATCTTCTTAGCCGAATAAGATTTAAAGAAATAAAAGATAAATTGAAAGAAATTTTTCTAAATGAAAGATCCTACTTAGTCTTAAATCAAATAAACTTAAAAGGATAAAATCAAGCTGCTATATGTAATAACATATTTTTTTTGTTTGAAAACACTAATCATATATGACACGATGTGTTACAATTTATTAAGATACAAAAAGAAAAAATGATACCATCAAAAGTCTTACATGTTCAGGTCATAGTCGCATTCATCATGGCATGTTGTCATAGTATCTTATTCTAGAATATAAATCATTAGTTCTTAATAAAGTACATATAAACCAGTCCTACTTTTACAACGTCATGTTAAATTGTCCTAAAGATATATGAAATAATAATGTTGATTTATTTTGCCATTTGTGTATTTGAGTTCTATTTTTATTAATCAGAGCTCTTATTAATTTTTTTCAGATGTTTTATACATCAATTCATAAATCTCGGGAAAACTCTTTCTCTATATATATATTAATACAACATATGGTTTATCATGTCTCTATGACATAGATTTCTTTATCAATGTCATTATGAATATAGAACTAACTAACGAAGAAAGTATACTGCTTTTACTATATCTCTTATCTTTTCTTAATAAATAAGTATTATCGATAGTGTGAATACTTCTACTTATTCTCTGAAGTCAACAAGAACTCTTTTAAGTTCACATCGAGGTATTTATCATTTTTAGTTACGAGGGCATATTTTTTTCTTTCTTCGTTCGACAATTCTTAAGAACTTTTTTTTCTTTAATAATATCTTACTTAATATATGATATATGTCATTAGACGTAATAAAATTGATGATTATCAACGGTGTCATGCTTAGAATGAAGTACTCAAAGCAAGAAGAAAAAAAAAAACATGTTCATGTCAAGAAAAGACAAACGGAATATTTTAGTGTTATTTATAGTAAATAATCTAAGAATAGTAGTTAAGAATCTTAGTTTCATGAAAAAAATCATTATTTATAAAGATAGAATAGAATTTTAATGTTCATCAACTATCTTATTTAGTTGTCAATATAACATTAACTGTAACTATAATTATATACTTTGAATATGTTGTAGAGTACCTCATGGGATTTTTTTTCTAAAAAAAAAACAAATGAAGTTTTCATATTGTTTAATTAATGTTTATATTTTTTTTTGAATGTCATATTATTATCGGCGAAATCTAATTGATTAAAAATAAAACTATTGAGATTCATTTATTCTTCATTTTATATTTGATAGACTTCTCAAAAGAACATTTATAAAAAAATGTCGGTCAATTGAGAATACCTGTATAATTTTATATCACTTTATATATATAGAGAGAGTTATAATTTTTTAATTTATTCAAATAATTACGTCACATGTACAAATTCTTTTTACGTAAAATATTAAACGTATTCTATAGTTTAATAAATTTAAATTCAACAATAGAAAAAAAAATCTACATATTTTATTTTTTTCGAAAAAAATCTAATTTATTAATGGGCTAAACTAATATGTTTTATACTCTGTTTATATGAATTCTTTCATAGTTCTTCTTTACCTTTGATAAATCTTGTTAAAAAGTATTTTTAAGTTTGTTTCTTTTTTTCTATGTTAACGTTATAATACTGACATACTTTTTATCTTGTCTAGATAAAACATATGTATGCAAATTAAAATAAATATCTAATATCTATTTACATAGATCGATGTAAAAAATATTTATTGACTCTCATATATTTGTGTATTTTTAAATAGAAATATATAGTTCATAAATAAAAGAACGAAATTTCCTATTAATGAAAAAAAAAAAGTACTTGAAAGAATATCAGATGTTCCCGTGCCCTCAATTATGTAAAGAAATGGGAAAAAGTTCTTTTTTTTTTGTATGATAGAAAATGTGTAGAAAGTTTTTTTTTTTTTTTCTAATTAAATATTTTCCATATTTTCTTTACGAGAGTCTATTTCTAGAAAAAAAAAAAGTATTCTCTTGATGTTATTTGGTTTCAATCGTCTTTTTTCTTGCTCTCATTTGCAATTCATCAATAAGAAAACGAGTTTCAGTGGATGTGTAATTCTTTTTTTTTGTTTCTTCCTTTTATCGAGCCAAGCATTTTTTTCTCCTTTTTGTATAATACTTAGCTAATGTCACGGCATTCTTTTCTTGTTAGGCATATAACACACTGCAAGTACAATGATATTTTTGGATAAATTACGTTGAGAAAAATAGAGAGACGCTTTATAATCATGCGAATCGACTAATCATCAATAGAAAACATAAAAACCGATATGCATTTTTTTTTTTTGATGAGTAAATACATTTGACAATCTAGATGAGTATTGGTTTTGTACTCATATGGGTATAATATATATATGCGTGTGTGTGTGTTAGCATTAGACATCTACATCTAAGATAATACTGTAAAGCGTTTCATTTAGACTTTAGTTTTTGAAGAATTAGAAATTACATAATCATATATATCGTTTTATAAATTTGTTTTATTAAGTGTATATTAATTGTTAACATATCATAATAACATAGCAGAAATATTTTTGTTATTACAGTAAGTGTACCTTTGGTACAGTTTCATCGGGTCATCATGGTATTCTTCAAATGTTTGAATAGCGTAAGAGAATCCAACTTTTACATTTTTAATTACTTGTATTAATTGAGCATGCTCAAAATATAAAAGAAAAATCTGAATATTTTCTCCGATAACCACATAAAGTCAAATGTTCTATTTAGCTTAGTACATCAGCTCCTCAATTTTTTTTTTTTTCTTGTTCTGATATACTTGTCTTAGTGTTGTCGTACTATCGATTGTCTCCAGTTTTTTTTTTTTTCTTTTTCTATTTTTTGGCTTTTCTTTTTTTATGATTGCTTGCTTTACACATCAAACATAACGCCTTACTCTTCGATAAGTATGACTACATGCATATATACACAAATATAGCATTAAGCCTTGATCAATGTTAACTAAAGAAAAGAATATGAGTAAAAGTATTCGAAAAATATAAGCAACGTAGACTGAATCAATAGAGAATAGGCACATTGACTATTTTAAAGCGTTTTTTTTTTTTTTTTTCATAATTATTCATCACTTAAAAAAGTATGCACAAATTTTTTTTTGCTTCTCCTTCTAAACTTTAATAAATGTAGGACAGAGACTCGCAAAAAAACATTTCTTTTTTTTTTTTTATTTTTTTATCCTTCAAAAAAAAAGAACAACATTCTCTGTTAGTTTTAGAAAAAAAAAAAAAGACATTCTTACTCGTTTACGTCAAAGAAGAAAAAAAAAAAAAATTTATTATGCATCGTAAACTAGATTATGATGAACTGAATTATGATGAAAAAATTCAAATAGGTCCATTAACAAAGAAATTAAAAACTTCAATTATATCTATGGATCAAACAAAATTAAACAATAATTATGAAAATATATCATTGAATACAAAACAATCATTACATTCATTTACAATTGATAAATATTCTCAAAATGATCCATTAAAATTAACTATTTTATCTCAATTACCAGCTCAGGTATATTCTAGTTGAGAATAAAATATTTTTTTGAGAAAAACAAAAATTTTTTATTATGTTTGTTTTTTTTTTTTCATTAAAATAGCCTTCATCATCAGTATTTCCTAATCGAAAACGACGATATCGTAAATCTCAAGAAATCTATGGAGTTAATTCTTTAACACCTTGTTCAACAACAAAAACAAATGGTGAAATACGAAGAAAATCAGATCTTTCTTGCGTTGGTAAATTATTTTATTTTCTTGATTGTTTTTTATTTTTTGGAATGTTCATTTGCACGCTTTGAATAATCTATTATGACAAAAAAAAAAAATGAAAGAACTAATCTACTATTATATAACTCGCAATTCTAGTAGACTCAAAATAAACGCACAAGGTCATTGCATATGAAAGCAAAAAAATTGTCCTTACATTGATAGTTCTTTTGCTCTGTTCTCTTATTCAATCGTGTTAGCACAAAAAAATATAGCAGAAGAAAAAAATCTAGAGCATTTCAGGAACATTTTTGAATGTTGTTTTGTTTTTTTTGTCTTTTCCTTGATGATATATTCAAGTAATTATAATTTTAGTTTGCCATGCTGTTGCGCATGGATATAACTTTGACGCAATATCATGTGAATCATGTAAAGCATTTTTTCGAAGAAATGCACTTTTTAATACGGTAAACCATTTTAATTTAATTAATAATAATATGAATTATGATTTATCTAGGATCGATTGAAATGTCGTCGTGATGGAACTTGTGAAATAACACTTGAAACAAGACGTAGATGTAAATCATGTCGATTAAAAAAATGTTTTGCTGTTGGTAGGATATTTCTTTCGTTTTTTTTTATTTTATTTCAATTGATTTAATACTTTTAATTTTCTTTTATTAAAATAGGCATGAGAAAAGAATGGATTTTAACAGAAGAAGAAAAAGTAAATAAGAAACGTCGTATTGAAGAAAATAGACGACTTCGAGCATCAAATTCAAATGATCATCATATACTATTAAAAGATTCAATTAGAAAATATGAATCAAATTTACAAAATATTTTTATTAATAAATATGAAAAATCTTCATTAAAAACTAAAACATATGATCAATCTAGTAATATTATAAGTAATGTTACAATAGCTTATCATGATAGAATTAAATTAGATCTTACTGGTTATGGTTGGTCATATCCATTAGCACGAAAAATTACTGGTTTATATCAAATAATTAATGCAAAAAATACTACAGCACTTCGTCTTATAAGTTTTTATAAAAGTTTATATGATTTTGATATTCTTAATGAAATCGATAAAATTAATTTAATCAAAAATAATTTACGTTATATATTATTCTTTAATGCTTCTCTTAAGTATGTTGTTTGAGACGAAAAAAAAGAAATGCCCAAGAGATTTAATTATTATATTTTTTTTCTTCTTCTTCTTCTATTAGATATGATCCAATCCATGATGTTTATCATGAAGAAAATACTAATGATAAACCTCTATATGGTGCTCATATACGTGAAGCATATGGTATTGATCATTATATTCAATGTACAAAGATAATACGTGCTCTACATTCAATAGTTCAAATTGATAAACGTATCATGCTTGTTGCACTTGTAATATTTCTATTTTCTAAAGGTCTTTCAACTACGACAAATACAAATGAATCATTAATAAATAATTATCAACAAATATTTCAAACACAAAATAAATATGTTGAACATTTATGGTTATTTATTGAAAAAACTTATGGATATGTTCGAGCTGTTCATATTTTTTCAGCATTAATTAATAAATGTTTACTTATACAAGAACTTATTAATGATACTCAACATAATGTTTATGAAAAATTTGAACGATGTCAAGTACCAACTAGTCTACGGAGTATTATACAAACAGCATAATTAATCTATGTAAATTATTTATGTGTACATACATATATATATATATATATATAAATATAAACGACAGTTTAAAAATGTTAGTTAGTCGGTCATTGTAATGATCCTTTGTTTTTAGTCTTTTGAATTATATTTTGGTCTTTTGCTTTCTAGTGTCTTGTTTTATTTTTGTTGCAAAGAAGAAAAAAAGAAACTATGCTTAATAAAAAAAAAACAAAACAATAAATGACGTCCTTTTTTCTATTATATTCTAAATACTATCAACAGCTTGCAATTGTCTAGGGTACATATTTGGAACGAATATAAGTCAAGTACAATCAAATAATTGACAAGGTCAATGGGAAGTTGTTTTTTTAATACATTTTCTTTTGTATATAATTACATAAAGAATAGAACATCTGTGTACTCATTCTTATATATATCATAAAATCTCAAAAAATATTCAAACATCACACAATAAAAATGCTACTAATTATCTACTTTTTTTTTTTAAATGGTACCTAGATTTTACAAGCAAAAGATTTATATTTATTTCCTTCTATTGTGTAAAAATAATTTTTAATCCTTAATAACACAGAATTCAAGTACTTTTTACGTACGAGAACATTTAGGTCATGAAAATTTTTACTTGCATTATCTGACTAACAATAACAAAACTTTTCATTCTCTTATCGAAAAATAAAATAATACCGTCTTGTTACATACTTTATCATGATTCATTATTAGTTTTTATAACACAACAATCATTTATGTCGTATATTAAAAATAAAGACGTCATATATTCATCATATAAACGAAGTTTTTTTTTTTTGTATGACTAATTTGATAATATTTTAGAAACATATGTTTACAAAAGAAAAATCATGATCGCTATGATAGATCATCAAATTTTTCGAAAATTTTAAGTATAGGTACATATTTTTTTACGTTATTTAAATTCGACAACAAAAAAAAACAAACATTCTCTGCGTCCTTTATCAAAATTAATACTTACTATATTAGACATAATCAGCTTATTGTCTAAGACTTACTTTGAAATTTTCTATCATAAATAAATTAATCATATAGGAATTGAATGTAGGCCAAAATGAAAAAAAAAAGAAAGTAAAATTGCATTTTATTTTGATGTAGGATAAAACATATGTTAATAGAGCATTGAAAACTGCTTTGATTATAAATATACTTATGTTCGTTCTCATATATCATTGTTCTTTACATAGAAACAAGAGCAAATATTCTTTTTTTGTTTTTTATTATACAGTACTTGGGTTAACGATGCTGTAAGCGGTCGTAAACAATATAAAACGATGGAAACCAACGTCTTTACGTCATCGTTGTTAGAATAAAGATAATTATTCTATCACTTGATAACTTAAATTTTATTCATTAAATATCATTGTATAAGTATGAAAAAAAAAAAAAACAAAACATCAGAGATTTCATTGTTCATATATATTTTGCTTTTCTTTTTATTATGAGACTCTTAAAACATGATTTTTGACTAGATCAAAAATTAGTTATTGTTCATCACTAAAACGTAAACGTTGTGCAGGTGAACCTTCATCATCATATTGCACATTACACCGAGTTGATGCTGGAATTATATTTATATTAAGTTCAGCTAAACGAGTTTTATTCATAACAAAAAATTGTCGTAATTGATCACCATCATATGTTGGTACAAGTGTTACCTAATAAATTAAAGAAAAACAAAAAGCGATTATTATTTCACATAATAATAAAAACTTAACTGGTATTTGTTCTTGTTTATCCCATTGTTGTTTTCCATCAATTAATGATTCTAATGTAAGACGATTTATTTCAACAGCATTTAATATATAATAACGAGCACGTATACGACGAAAAAATTCACTATCAACATAATGTTCATTACCATGATATGGAATATATGCAACATCAACATAAAATATTGAACCTATTGGTAATGTTTGTTTTATTTTACGTGTATTATTAATTGGCATTGTAGGAATACTTGATTTTCTAACAGTCGATTTTTTTAAATGATTTTCATCATCCATTGGTAAACCTTGTGGATTAATTTCATCAATTGATGGCATTATATTTTTTGTTGTTGATATATCATGATGAATTATTTCTATATCATCAGTTTTATCAAGAAATGGATTTCGAGTATTAGGTGCACCATCAACAAAACTTATTGTCATAGGATCAGTAGAAATAAAATTTGTATTTATTTCATCAAGTGGTGTTGCAGTATTACTATCAACAAATGGTTCATTTGTATTCTCAATAAATGAAAATGATTCTGGACGTTTTATTTGAGTATCATCATTAATTTCTTTCTGTTGATCATTCTAAAAAGAGAAATTATTAAATTTTTAAGAACACAAAAAAAAGTTGCAAGTTTTAATGTCTTACATCTTGTTCATGATTATCAATTTTAGTAATGCTCGTTGATATTGTTTGACGAGAATTTTGTGTCTTCTTATCATTAGTAATTGATTGAAGAGATCTATCAGTTGTTGAAATAGATGTCTAAAATATTAATAAAGTTAATATTTGTTAATTTCATATGAATCTTGTTTACTTTCTTATCTGTTTTAGTTGTTGTAGGTGCTGATCGAGATTTATTATCTGATTTTATAGTTGTAGTTGATAGAGGTTTTGATTTTGATGTGATTGGGCGTGAAATAACTTTTGTTGTTTCAGCACTTGATATCGGTTTAGATTTTGAAGACGGATTTTTAATATTTATGTTGCTATTAGTAGATGATATTGTTGTTTTCGTACTACCTGCTCGAACTGTTTGATGTTGTTGAGATTCATGTAATAAATCCAAATGACGAACTCTAGCTAATGCTTCAAAGACGAGTGTTTGTGGACATGCACCTGTATATAGAATACGAACTAAACTATCTTTGCTTGATTTTGATGTTGGTGTCCAAACAAGAAGTGTACATGATGAATACCAATGATGAAGAGGAATTATTGAAGATGATGGTTGTTGATCACGAATTGGAATCTAAAAAAAGATTTTTTTTTTTTGCTTGCTTTAATTTGTAATTGTAATATTTCGTTTTACTTTTTGTAAAGTTGCTAAAAATTTATCATCATCAATTGATGATGGTAATGGATATAATACATAAAGATCAAGTGAACCAAAAGCTATTTTTTTATAAAGATTTATTGGTTCTATAGTATGTTTATTTGGTGATATAGATTTTATTAAATCAAATGTTTCAATATTTAATTGTTTAATATCATGTACAAATTGATCTATATTATGAGATAAATTAACTGTTAATTTGCTATTTGACGGTAATTTTGATATATATGATGATTGAAATCGTATTCGTTGAGTATGATTAAGAAAAATAGCTCCTATATCTGGTTTACATAATCGACCATCATGTAATGATGGTATTGTTTTTCGATGAAGTATTGTTTGTAAACCAGGAAGAACATCATAATCAAAATGTGTTAAAATACAAGCATCAATAGTTTGTAAACCACGAATTAAATTCCAATAAGAAGGTATTCGACTAACAAAAAAAAAAAAATCAATTACAAAAACAAAAATGTTTTTACAATAATTTGATATTAAGGTAAGTAATCAGAGTTGAGGAGTAGCAGACACGATCGCTCTGTCATTTAGGAAGACAAGCAACAGAACAATAGGATATGCTTGTTTATTTTTGAATGGATTTGAAAATAGATTATGTCATCAGAGAATACATTTATACACAAGAGAATGTTTTTATTAATAGTTCTTTCTATTTCCGGATTCATTTACAAATGATGAATGCATCCGTTTTTCTTTTTTAGATTAATATTGTTATAAGCTATTTCATAGGTGAACAGAAATGCTATTTTAACCGTTTTCATTCATGAAAAAAAAATAGAATTCAATTAACAGAAAATACAACCTAAAGGGTGTAAAATAAGTTCTGATTCCATTCATGTAATATGCTTTTCCTATATGTTTTTTCAGTAGAATAGGCTGATATTTGTAGTATATATACTAGACATCTAAATCTATTCTACATTAAAATTTCAGCTTTCTATCCCTTATAATTATGGAGATACAATACGACATAAAAATTAATGAGAATTTTTGATTTATACAGAATGAGTAGTTAACCGAAGAAAAAAGTGAATATCTCCATTAGGACTCGAGCAAACGAGCTGTTTTTTTAATCATTGATAGAGGCATGTTCAAGCTTTATATCCATAAAGATATGTCTAGACAAATCCTTTGTTTTTCTTTCTTATTTGTGAAAAAGTAAAATTCTTCTTGTTGAAATCAATAGTGATACTTAATAAAGAATCTCTCTAGACATGGTTTTATGGATATAAAGCTTGAACATGCTTCTATTAATGATAAAAAAATTAGCTCATTTACTCGAGTCCTAATGGAGATATTCAATTTTTTCTTCGATTAACTACTCATTCTGTATAAATCAAAAATTCTCATTAATTTTTATGTCATATTGTATCTTCATAATTATAAGGGATAGAAAGCTGAAATTTCACTGTAGAATAGATTTAGATGTCTAGTATATATACTGCAAATATCAGCCTATTCTACTGAAAAAACATATAGGAAAAGCATATTACATGAATGGAAATCAGAACTTATTTTACAGCCTTTATGACAATTCTTTCCTAAGATAGTTTTAAACTTTTTCAAAAGATTCACTTTCTTTTTTTCATACGAGAAATATGTCTCTTTATTATTGGTTCATCGATATCGATATTAGAATGTAAACGAGAACATTTTGTTAGAAATGAATATGATTTAATCTAATTTAAACATTGATGACAGCAATTACCTGAAACCTCCATTGACTAGTACAACAAAACCTCGAATACCAAATAATGATGCTTCACCTTGTTGTCCATATAATATATAAAGATTTGGTTCATCGAAAGCAACTGAAACAAAAAAACACAAAGACGTTTATTCGAAAACTAATATTTTTTTGTTATTTTTACTTGTTCCTGAACTATCTCTTGGTATTAATTTATTATAAATATCAAAATTAATAGTATGTTTATTTAAAATTTGAATTAATCGTTCATAAAATTGATTTCCAAATGAATTTTTTTCATTGATTTCTTTTGTTAAATCATCAATTTGAATATTTTTTAAATATTTTTGTTTTAATAATCGTGTCCATTGATGAGAAATAAATGGTAAGATTATTTGTAAATCTTCTATAACATATGTAGAATTATCTTCAAATAAATTATAAAAATGATCCGAAGTTAAAACTGAATCAGTTAAGATCAATGAACCATTAGAATCAATTTGTTGACCTTTAAAAATCATATTGAAAGATCAAAAAAAAAACAACATATTATAAATAATTTTACCACAAAAAATAATCGAAACATGATAACAATTATTAAAATAATCTTTAAGTACATTTAATACAGCATGAAAATTAGGTAAATAAAGAAATCCAGCAATTGAACCATTTTCTGTATTTTTTATTTGTCGATATTGAGAATCTGTTCGAACAAAAAAAATGAACAAATCGATTTATAAAACAATAATAACAAACCTGCTTGAAATTCATCATTATGAATTAAATTATTGAAAAGATCTTCTATTGCACGAAATTTATTATTATCAATATGTTTAAATGCTTTATTAAGATAAAGAAATATTTCGTCACGTTGTTGATTAGAAATAATATCTCCGAAAATTAGTAATACACCTACACTCGATTGTGTTTGTTCATTATTTTCATTGATTACTGTCGCCATTTAATCGATGAACAGACAAAAGTGTATATGAAAAAAAAAAGAGAAAAAGGTGACAGCTGTAACGAATATAATTATAAAGTAAGTGTTAATGTAGAATGATTTTTTTTTGTACTCTATTATGAATTCAGAAATAATGATGAAGAAAAAGAAAGAAGGTATGGAATTGACATACATTGAGTTCATAATTCCGGAAAAAATTATGAATCATTTCATGATATGATTGGTTGGAAAATAGATTTAGATTGCAATGAATGAATTTACATATGATGATGAATGATTTAGAGAATAATGAATTGTTTTCATCGTATGGGGAATGAATGGTTAATAGAAAACGTAAATGCTTAGATGAAATAATTCATAGATGACGCTACAATTTGGTTTATTATGAGATTTATAGATGAACTGTATAGGAAACTAATTATTTGGATGTTTTGTATGTATTATAGGCGATTAAGAAGATCATCCTTTCGATAATCGCTCTGAACACTCCCAGAAGCACTGCAGTTAATAAAATTCCCTACAAGTAGAGCAAAAATTTTCATAGACTCAGAGTTCTCGAATAATGCTGTCTTCTATGAGATATTTACATTACAATGTGCGTTCACATTTCTCTCCGATGGTATATTCAATTCTTTCTTTTTTAAGCATTACCTAAAATCAGTAAAATAATATTTTTCTAAACAAAAAAAGTGATAGATCCTACTTTAGTGCCAAATTTCGAGCTTATAAATAAGGTTTGTATCGTAAAAAACAAAATCTTGGCGCTTAGATGGTTACTAATGATATATTCATATATTTTACGTACTGAAAAAAAGCTCGATAATTAATTGATTATGAAGTGTTGTGGAACAAGCAATAAATTACATATAAAAGAATGTGAATTTTTAAATGGAGTTGATGAAAATGAAGAATTTTTGTAAGTTATGATTTTTATTTTTAATTTTAATTTTTGTTGCTTTTCCTTTTTATGAAGAAACATAATTCAAGAATGTAAAAATGATGAAGGTTTAATTGATCCTGATATTTTAATTAAAAAAATGGAAAATTCTTCAAATGAACACATAAAACATAATGTTGATGCTGTACGAAAAAAATTAAAAAATTTATTACCAAATGATAAAAATGATCAAAAACATGTTTTAGAAGAAAATTTACTTATTAATACACTCAAAGGTGGTATGCAAGAAGCTATTGATAAAGTTAAATCATCAAGAAATAGTATCAAAAAATAAACTTCATTATATTTGTCAAATATCTGTGTATTATTATCAATAAAATGATCTGCTTTTGAATATATATATTTTCATAGGATAACGTTCCTCAGTTATAACTAAAAAATTTATGATATGAAATAGTAATTCTGGATAGAGTGAATATACATATACCTGTAATGCTTTCTCTAGAAAACAGTAAGTACCTATAACCATAATGTTAATATTATGATTATTAATTATTATTTAATGAATTAGTAGAATTTTTCGCCAATGGATACTGATTTTTGTATGTCTATTGCATCATCATATCATTTCTATTCGGTAGATATTGGTATACTTTTTCGAACGGTTTCATATTGCCAGTACATAGTTATCAATCACATGATTGTTAGAGTACTGCCTGGGTACAACTGTTCGTACTAGTACTCGACTCCAACAGGAATCCTTTACTCGCACCCATTAATTTTGTATCGGAGTATGTGGCTGTTTATTTGTTTTTCATCTCTGTAACAACAACGTGGATGGAATAGCTTACCACTATCCTCGGTAATGATGTTTATTGACTACTCAATACCTCCAGAATGTAACTGCTTCACATACAGCACACGCTTATATAGGAGAGAAAAAATGATATCAATATCGGTTGAATCTCTTTGACCACATGCACACCCACTCAGACATCCGCACGTACACCGCTAGTAATGATGTAATCACTCTTAATGAAAACCTGAATCGTTCAGATGAAGTAAATAATGATAAATCCATTTTTTATTTTTCTTCGTGCAAGCATAGAGATCTCTTGCGCGGTTTTATTTTACAAGAAGTGTGCAGTTTTCGGCTTTTACTTTTGGAGTTTTCGAAGTATCATACCAGTTCCAGTACACGCCAGCTACACGTATTATTAATTGTAGATAACGAAGCGTAGTAAGCATCGGTTCTTTTTCTTTCACCATTCTCAGGTAAGTAGACTATGCCGTCGCCTCTGTCTAGTGTAGCATCGAGCACTGTTATGATGAGTTGAATACTTCTCAATTTCATCAGGTAGACTACATAGTGGCAAAAATTCCTCGGTGATGGAATAAATAGGAAGCATTTCAGTCATTTTTAATGCTCGATGTAAAGCATCCAACTGTATAAAGTAGTAGTTCAGTGCCTCCTCAAAGTCTGCATCATTTTTATAAATTGTTCCTAGCTCTCCAGTAATGGAAGCAAGTTCGAGAAGGAGTTTATACTTGATAATCTTGTTGGTATCTTCTGGTAAATTATTATAAGCATGTATTGCATCAGTCATGACTTGTATAAGCCTCTTCACATGACTATCTATCGTGGAGTGAACGTGAATCTTAAATGCTACGGAGAACCAGAATTGGCCAAAGTCATTGATATGTAAAGAATTTGTGTCACCACCAGTACTATCCGACAACAGATCATTGTCTTGCAATGAAACTGTTGTCTGGGATCAATCTTGTAACATACTTGGAACTATGTCGATTGCTTCACCTAATTTTCTGATTTCTTTCGAACACATACGGATCAAATCCTTTTCAATTCGAGCATTCCATGAATTCGTGACGACTACCTCTTCAGCTAGGTTAATTGCACGACGAAAATGATCGATCGCACGGCGTTGGTAACTCAGTGCAATCAATGAATCATCTGTGAGCTGGTGAAGTGAACCGGTCTCTTTTAAACATAGAGCAAAGTCGTAATGCACAAAGCTAAAGCCTTTATCATTTAAATTACAGTATGATTCATATACGTCGAGACGTTGGTGGCAATAATTCAACGCTTCTTTAAAGTTACGGATATGTTTGTAAATGAAGACGATTTTTTTCAAGCATTTCATGATGTCAGCTAAAATGTTTTTTTCCATGTTACCATTGACCTTCTCCAAAACCATTTTTCGCTCTCTCAAGGAGTAGAGATAATATTCGAGAGCAGTTGAAAAGTCGCCTTTGCACTCGTAAGTATCGGCGATTTCATCCAGTAAGTCGCTATTCTCAGTTCTTTGCTCAGGCTTGAGATATGCGATCATGTCTCTTGCGGCTTTCAGATGAAAAAGCGCATCATCGAACTTTCTCTCATACTTACAAGCTAAGCCAGTATTCCACAAAAGCATAGCTTTGTCAAAGCTATCATATTCATAAGCATCGTTAAGGAGATGAAGACGTTTCCAAAAATGAGAAGCGGGCATTTGGTAACTATCCAAACATTTTTCTATCTGACCGATGTCAGAGTTGAGATAAACTCAAAACCACAATGTTCTGTTAGGATCATGGCGAAAATAACGTCACCTCTTATTAGATATCAGCGATATATCTGTATCAGAAAACTTGTTACATCGTTTTCTTTTGTGACAGAATGGATTACCGAGTTGATTGTCAGAAGTTTTAGCCAAAAGTAGTTGTCGACAGTGCTTCAGTAACTCATCATGAACTTTATGGTGGCGATTTTCAGGAAGATCTCTGAACCAAGCATCGAATAATTTTCCAATTCGTTTATACTTTGCTCAAAGCAATCAGTCCGTGCACAGTGAATCGATGACCGCTAGGATAAAAACCATTGAGAATTTCAATGGCCCTGTTAAAGTATTTTGAAGCAAGAGTTAAATTATCTTTATAGTCACAGTAGACTTTAGCAATATTGAGTAGAGATTCCACGATATCAAGGTGATACGCAGACCTTTTCCGTTGACGAAGCTGAAATGCTTTTCGATACCATAGTAAAGCTTGCCGAACGTTTCTTCGTCTAAAATAAATGTGTCCAAGTTCATCGTGAACGTGCGCAATATCCGGATGATCATTTCCCCAAGTCTCTTTAAAAAGAATATTTCTGCCTGTTCTTGTTCATTCATTTCATCGAACAGTTTGATGGATTTCAATTCTTCTTTTCGAGATGCAAGATATTCTTGTACTTCTGTTGATCCATCATTTGTTGCAATCATTTGAACTTTCCATAAACCTCTTGAAATGTTCTGTTTGACTGAATTTATTCTAAATACTGATCCCAATTCAAACAAGTACTCATGTTCATCTGGAATTCGACTTCGTCCTGCTACATCGGCAACCATAATATTGTATTTAGACGGATTAATAGTTATTTCAAACAGTATTGCTTGAAAGTTCTCTGTAGATTCACTAGCGAACATATCAGCGACATTTGGATTTTTTGAAGTAGAAAGAAAAACATTCATCGCTACTAATGAACCTACATTTTCTTTTAGTATATTGAGTTCATGAAGAGTCTTACGTTGTCCACGATAGACTATAATTTCTTCTATATTATTCAGTTTCCGACTTTCCTCTTCAATTTGTGCACAAAGATCATTAATATAATAACGAAATTTATAGAGAAGGAGATTGTCTTCGATTCTGAGAGCTTTATTCAAGAGTTTGTATAAAAAACAATCTTCTGTATACCAAGTCAGTGCATGTTCTCTGGAGTATTCATTGGAAAATTTTTCTATTTTTCTCAACTCGGCCGGATTATCTTGATAGTAAGTTCTGCATTGTTCCAACATTTCAGATTTTGATTGTTCATCACAACGTATTTCGCGTAGTGTAGCAAACAAGACTTTATGCCAGAAAATTTTCAGAGTTTCATGAGATATATCTCTAGTGAAACGTTGAGATTTGCCAAATAATTTGAATACAATCAGTTGTTTCGATACAAATGACATCGATTGAAGAATAGCTTGTTGTAAAGATAGATGATCGGTGAACTTATCAACAATTTTTGGATATTTGTGACGGTTTGGTACATACGAAGTATTTATACAAAAAATGATCACTGAAGAAAGTGCTCGACAATTATGAACTTGGGATAAAACATTTTCCACTAAAGTACTGGAAACAATTAGAATGATAAGTTCATTTCTCACATGTCGTATAAGATCAATACATGTTGATACTTCAGTATAAAATTGAACATTGGTATTTAAGTTCATTAACATTTGTTGAGTAAAAAGACAATCTTCCGATTCATCAATATTCGAATTCAACCAAATCAAAAGAATATCTTCTTTATTTTCTGGTAAATCGTAAGACGGAAGATTACGAGGAGGAATACGAATATTATTTGACGTAGTAGTTATCAACATTTTATATTATTTTCACGATTGAACCTTATAATATGAAAATTGAATGAGCATAGTGAAATACGCAATGAAAGACTATCGTAATTGTCACGTAGCGTCAATGACGACGTTAGTTTGAATGTAATCTAGTAGGTAGTGATAATGATGATGTGTATTTTGTTTTTCCAAGTATATTTGCGACGCAAAAGATAAACTGAGTCATTCTTTTCTCGTCACACTATGACTATAGGACATATTTTAATCTTTACTCACGTAATATATTGCTCTCCGCATACGTATACTTGAGTGTGGCGTGATGGTTTGATGATAAGTCGTTTTATAGACTTTTACAAAAGAAATATATCATAAAGATAGCATTCAATTACGTACTACTCATCTATGAATTGATTGATTGATCTTATTAAATTAAAATAATATGCATTTTAAAAAGTATACAATATTGCTCATTCAAAGGACGTATGTCTAACAGTTGATCTAGATCCATTTTTTTCATTCATTTTTTACTGTAGAGGAAAGTTCTTCACAATGAATATCTTGTTTATTTTCGTTTGAAATATTCGATATATAAAATACAAAAAATAATTTCTTTATCGAAGCATGTATTGTTTAGATAAATCTAAAATATCTTTCCTTACAAAACTATCAAGATATACGAGAAGAATTTAACATGCTTGTGCTTTTGTTCATAATAAAATCAATATGACTCTGATGTGTATTACAAAGTTGGTTTTCTGTCGATCATGATGAATATGCAAATTTTGAGCACCAAACGCACAGACACGATTCATCAGTGCGGCTATGTCATTGCTGAAAGCTCTTTGCAATGAATCAACGCCAAGAAAATTGAATGAACAAATTAATTTCAATTAAATGAGTGCTTTTATCCGTTCTAGCACCCTAAATTCCATTAATTTGATTCAAT